CCCGTCCAGGGGCACAGCTGTCATAAAGGAGGTGGCCAGGGTCATGGGAGATCTGGTCCAATCAGGTAACCAAATCAATCAAAAGTTGAATTTATGAACTACGTTAGGCAGCCTTTAAAAAACGATATATTCAAGAGGGGGGGGGGGGAATAATAAAAAAGCATATATTTGTATGCACTTAAGTGACTTTTATGTAAGCTTCGATTAAGTCCTTACAAGGATGCGTGTGGCGTATGTTCTTTCATTTTGAAATAAAGCACGTTTTGATGCACTTGCGTTTCTGACTTATGTCTTACATTTCAATTTTAATTATGTCCCTTCAAGGATGAATATGTTGGATCAGTTTTAAAAAAAACAACTAAAAAACAATTTTCAAACAACTTCTAACAATGTACGCTTTCTCTTTTTAAGAGCCACGAACAACGAATTTAAATTAAGAGAGTCGAGAAGATTCAATGCTTAGACTCTGTTAACAGAAGAAAAAAAAATTATTCTCTATAAAATTTTAGAATAAATATCCTTTAAAATTATACCGGTATAGCTCTGTGCATAATGGTTTGTTGTTTTTTTTTTACATTTTCAAAGCCAATAAAGTCTGTATTAGGTCCAAATTTATTTATTTTTATTCGAGATATATTTATAGCAAAAAAAAGAAAGAAAAAGAAAAAGAAACCACTAATCAGTTTGCTTGTCTGATACAAAGGTCGGTGGAAGCCAAGACGCTCCATAATGTTTTGTTCCTGGGGAGCCGAAGAGTACGGACTCATAGGATCTACTGAATGGGTCGAGGTCAGAAACAATATCAATAAGTGTGTGTGTGTGGGGGGGGGGGGGGGGGTTAAATGCGACCTCATAAGGTTTCATTTTCGGCTCAGATATTTATTTCCACTACCTTACTTTACCGATTAATAAGACGCATTTTTTCTCTTAGAAAAATTGCCTCCACTATTCAGGTGAGTCTTAGACTCGAAAATTAATATTATATTATATTTTTATGAAGATTGTGAAGATAGTTTGAACGATTAATTTCATAATTTTAGTCTTATGCATGATTGAGTAAAGTGTGTTCATTTTATATTAGTAAATGAGACAGTTGCTCAATCTTTATCTCATCTCCCATACACAGCAATACGTGGCTACGCTACGAGAGAGGGCAGTGGCTTACATCAATGTAGACATCGCAGTAGATGGTAAATGACAAAATGTGTGGAAGAATGGGGGAAATCTGTGGGGAGATTGGACAAAGGGGAAGAAAGAGTGAGCGAGGGGAGAGAGAGGGGGCGGGGTGAGAAAGAAAGTGATAGAATAAGAGTGGGAGAACAGAATAAAGGAAAGATGAGTCTGATGGGGGAGAGGGAATATGTACGAATGAACAGATTTCAATTAGAGAACTTGGGTTTATATGGGGTAACATGGGGGTGACATGAGGGTGACATGAGGGTGACTGTAAAATAAGAGGGGAGTGGAGAGACTCTTTAACTTAAAAGTAAAGTGGTTGAAAGTCAACCCAAAAAAGATATAACAGAGTGGGAAAGAAACTGCAATTCGAGACTGTGCTAAAATGAAAGATTCAGAGAACGACATTGGAGACATGGGGCAAAAATAAACAGTTTTTCTCTTTTGATTTATGATAAATGAAAATTTTAATCCAAAGTTTATTATGTCACTCCCCCCCCCC